AAGATATATAAATTAATTAAAAAGTAATTTTTATATTTATATTTTAATAATTTTCGTATTTGATTTTAGATTTTAGTAATCATATATAATAATATATCAAATATAAAATATTAAAAGAAATTCTTTAAATTTAAATAAACAAAATATTGAGTTTAATTTATATTATCTAAATAGTAATGTAATTAGTTGCAACTATAATAAATAAGTATTACAGAGATACAACTTGTTGTGACATTAATAAAAATCAAATTGCAATTATTTACAACTAATAATAAAAGGCATCTTGTGATTGTAACTAGTTGCAGTATCATCTTTAATATCATCAAAATATTAGAAGTTTTGCACATATTATTAATATAAGTATACATAAATACTTAAAAATGTTCATACATTAGGTCCAAATAATAAAAATATTTTAAACTAAGCAATGGTCAGAAATCATTATTAAGTCTGAAATATAAGTATAACAAAAGGAACTAATCACATATAAACTTAAATTTTGGGTGAGCAGACAGATAAACATTTTTCATTACTATTACTTGTATATAAATAATTCTTTATTTACACCCTAAATTAATAAAGAAATAGAAACTAAAAATATTATTTTTTTAATTGTTTTGCTTACAAATTTGCAAGCAATTATTTTTAATTATTTTTAATACTTTTATAATAAATTTTATGATATTTTCTAAGTAAAAATTTATAATTATCTAGTAATTTTTTAAAGATAAATATATAATAAACTATTATAAAAAAAATTAAAATTTTAAATTCATATATCTTACTATCTATTAATCTTAAAAATATAAAAATACTACTATTTAATAGGTCTTAATATGATGAATTTAATAAATTAAATTTTAAATTTTTATAATTATTAAATAATAGATCATTTTTAAAAATTAAAAATTAAAAATTAACATATATTAATAATTATTAATTTTAATAGTTTAAAATATTATTATTAGATACATCATAGAAAATTAATAATAAAAATTTATACTTTACCTTAATAATATAAAAGTTTTTCTTAATAATATATTGCATTAAAAATTTAACAATTAGAATTAATAATAGATATTAAAACTCATTAGAATTCTATAGAAATAATGTTAAAAAGAGTTATTTTACTTAAAAATACTTTTTATAATATAGCATTATCTAATAAAAATCTTAATAAATATATTCTTTCAGATTAAAGATGGATATTGCAATTAAAAAGAATAACGTAATTAAGTTGTAACATTATGACACAATTAAATTTTCTTATGTCGTAATTAAGTTATGATTCAATTAAAATTTAAAAATAATTATAAGAATCATCTTTATTTCAGATAATAAATGAAACTATATTTAACATTGAAACCAGCAAAAACTGATAGACCTGTCAAATATGTCATATCTGCCAAATATGCCATATCTGCCAAATAGAATACAAATATCATTTATTATATCTTTATTATATCTATTATTATTATCATTTATATCATATTTAGCATAATTAGCATATCTGTTAGCTCTGTTATTATTGTCAGTAGTATCATAAATACTATAGATTTTCTTTAATTATAATTTTCTCATATAAAGGATATGAAAATGCCTTGGAAAAAGGATAGATTCTAAAAAGATCCTAACATTGTATTCAATATACATTTAATAACAATAATAAACACTCTTAACATTTTTACAAACATAAAACTTATAATTTTATTCTTGTTAACTAAATAAACTCTCTAATAAATAGCGTGTTAAGTTGATTAAATTTAAGTCATAGCTATTGTCTCCCTGACTTCAAATCATAGTTAACTTATTTGACAGAAAAGAGTAACGTTAACAACATATAAGAATTTTTAATTTAGTTAATAAAGAATATTTAATTTAAATTTATTTTAAATATTTAACAAATATTTTTTTTATTTAGCTTTTTTAAAAAAGGATCATATTTTATTACTGATCAATTATATTCTACACTTTCATATAATATTCCAGTTTATAATTATTTAATAGATAAAATTAAAGATACAATTAATAATAATATTAATAGGTTAAAAATTAAATATTTAGCTAAATTGACAAAAATAAAAAATATTTGAATATTATCTATTAATAAATAGAACTAATTATATTATTGCTACAGGTTAGTTAATTTATAAAATTAAATAAATTAATTATATATTATTTTATTAATTATTATTTATAATTAATTAGTAATTAAATTACACTATTATAAAATTAATAATTGAAAAAGATATTATATTAATAAAGCAAAAAATATTATAACAACTATTTGAAAAAAAAAATACAGATACTATATATTTCTTCTGATAATTTTGATGATATTCTTAATTATATATTTAAAAAAATATATATATATCATAAAAATGAGCTTAAAACTTTTCTTAAAAAGTCACTTATATCAAAAAAACTAGATATTTTATTATGATAAAAAATATGTATAATATTTAAATATTTATTATAATAATATATTCTTATATTTAATTAATTTATTAATTTATAAACATTATTATAAAGTTTCATGAAAATGAATATCCAAATCTTTCTAAAATGACTAAAATTACTTAGCTATTCTAAGTTAATATAAATATTACTTGTATTATTTTATAATTTATAATTATTCATATAAATTTTATTATTTTTTTTAGTTACAAATTTATTAATAGAAAGAATATTTTCAGGTAAAACAAATTTGATAATTCAAAAAAAATAAAATTTAAAAGGTAAAATAATTAATAAATGTATGTATCTTAAAGGATGGTTAAATTTATATTTAATTAATTAAAAATTATTAAAAAGAAAGAAAATTATTTTGTTTTTAAAAAAATAATTTGGTTTAGTTTTTTATTTTTATATAAATAGATTAAGAAACTTAGTTTTTTTAAGTTTTATAAAAGTTTTATATTTATATTTATTTTTTTTTAAGAATTTTTTAACTTTTTGTAATTATTTTTTTGCAAATAAAAATAAAGATAATTTATTTATCAATATAAATTTAGTAGTACAATGTTAAAAAATTAAATATATTTTACTTAAATAAAGAAAATAGTATTAGATATGTTTTTTTTAAAAAAATCATTCTGAAAGTAAAATCCTTTAAGAAAATCACTTCAAAAGTAAAATTCTTCAAGAAAATTACTCTGAAAGTGAAACCTTTCAAGAAAATCATTCTGAAAAATGATTTGTTTAAAAAAATTGTTCTGAAATAAAATTTTTTATGAAAATTGCTCTGAAAATAAAATCTTTCAAAGAAATTGCTTTTAAAGTGAAATTCTTAATAAAAATCATTTTAAAAGTAAATCATTCAAGAAAATTGCTTTGAAAGTGAATTCCTTTAAAAAAATTCAACCTCAGATATATTTTTCTTTAAGAAAATATTACTAAATTTATTTACTTTAAAGAAAACATTACTAAATTCATTTTTCTTCAAAAAAAAATATTATTAGATTTATTTTTTTTTAAAGGAAACATTATCAGGTTTATTTTTCTTTAAAGAAAACATTAATAGAGTTATTTTTCTTTAAGTAAATGCTATTAAAGCAGTTTTTCTTTAAAGAAAAATCACCTTTAGATTTATATTCTTCAAAAAAAAATTAAGTTAATGAGTTGAGTTACAACATGAGTTAAGCTATAGTATAATCTAACTTATCTGACTTGCAACTTATTTTATAGTGACTTAAGCTAAGCCTAGATGAATTAGCTTATTTAACTTACAAGTAGTGATATAAATTAGGATTATGTAATAGGTATAGTATATATTAAATTATAATTGTGTCTATTTCTATTTTTCTTTTACATATAGTATAATGTGTGTATAACTACACAAGATTTTTATATATTTTTATATTTTGCACTTATAAAAATATTTTGAATTTATATCACTGCTTACAAGCAGCTTAGCTTATACAAAGCTTTATTGAGTACTATCTAAATGCATTTTAAAGCTTTATTTAAGTTAGTTTAAATGCATTTTATTATATAAATATATAATGTAATAATATATATTAAATTACCTAAAATGCAAATGTATTTAAATGATACATTATTCCTATTCCTACTAACTTCTTAAATAATTATATTTTAGAAAAGCCATTGTAAAAAAACTAGAATTAAACAATTTAAATAGAGACATAAGATTTCATTTCCAAATAAAACAGACTGAATTATTTAACATTTCAAAAAATGTTCACATTTTCTTACCAAAACAAATGAAGAGCAAGCAGCAATTTTTGCACTTTCACGAAGTAAAGAAGCAGATACTACTAATAATACCATTTCAAGCTTAACTTCTAGTAAAAGAGGTATTAATACGTGATCATATATATCATAAAAAATGTTTCAAAATTTGGTCTCTAATGTCACTATTGTTATCTAACTACTTCTATTGATGATTCACACAATCATATAACAATCAGTTATATATGGATGAAAATGTAAATGAATTTAATATAAAGAATAAAACACAATCTGAAGAATGTGAACTTAATGCAGAAATGATAAATATTTTTATGACAATTGATATTGAATTGAGTGAAAAATATCAGGTATCTTTTATAAAGTTTAAAAATTTATTATTAAAATTTGTGCTAATAGTAAAATAGCTTTTCTGGATATAGAAGAAGATTTATTAGCATAATATGTATTATCCGAAACTAATAATACTCAAAGTTCATTAGAATTTTACTTTTAATAAGCGAAAAAACTGTGGGAGTAATGTGCGAAATTGCAAGTATATTTTGTACATTTGTAATTATTATATTATAAAAAATGTTCATGGTTCGAATAAAAAAAATAAAGTTTTCAATGCATTTAACTATATCAGTTAATTATAAATTTTACTATCACGTGACGAAAAATTATTAGCTGGCCAAGTTGTTGATCTTCGACCAATCAATGGATTTTTACCTAGTGTGAAACAAAAAATCATGTGAATAATAAACAAAAAAAAAATTTTTTTTTGATTATCAAAAACAATTTTCACAATAATGACAAGTTTCTTCAAGTCAATTCTTACAAATGTAAGTTTGCTTAAATACATACTAATAATTCTTCAATTAATTAAAGCAATTTTGTTTTTATGTCATGAATAGACACATAAAACTGGAATTTCAGCATTCTCAAGAATAACGAGTTTTCGTGGATATGTGTAATTAAACCTTTTTTAATATTTTTGGTTCAACGTTCTAGTTTTACATTAAGAATCAAAAAAAAAATTAAATTTCCCCGAAATTATATTATTAGAGAGGGACTTAAAGAATCGTCTGGAGTAATTCAAAAACTCGCCGAAAGAATTGAGGGTGAACCGGTTAATTCGGAAGAACAAATCGATCCAATTTATCTAGGTAAAAAAAAAAAAAAAAAAAAAAATTATTTAAACCCTTTTATAAGAACACAATTCTTACGATTAAGTTACTCAAATCATGATTCCCTTTTATCATTAGAACCACAAAGGATTTCTTCAAAGCATAATATAGTAGTATGTCATATACATTTTCGTTCATACACACCGGGACCAATGGATTTTTTTGTTGATTTTGCGCGTCGTACAGCATTTCACCTTGCAATTCCATGTTCCGGCACAATTTATTTACCAACGCAAAGAACACGATGGACAATGCCAAAGGGACCTTTTGTACATAAAAAATCTCAAGAAAATTTTGAAAGAAAAACTCATAAAAGATTATTAACATTTAAAGATGCAAATAAAAATGTGATCGATAGATTATTATTATATTTAACTAAATATTGCCCCCCTGGTATTGGTATGAGGGTAACACATTGGGAATGGGAAGATTTAGGTGTGGGTAAAAGGATGTTGGAAAATGCCAAAACCAAAGAGGAATCTAGAATGTATAAAAGCGTTGAAAATGAATCCATCGGCGCTGTTGGTTCTGATGTTGGCGGTAAGAAGGTTTTAAGTGTTGAAAATGTTGCTGACATGCTGATTAAGGGTATGGAGAAAGATTTGGCTATTAAAGATGAAATTGATTCAGAATCAAAAGATAAGGTAGAAATACCTATGGGAGATAATATTAAAGAGGTTGGTAATGCGAAAGAAATTGATAGTGAAAGTAGTGATAACAATGAAGAAGTACCCGTGAAAGTTGATTCAGCGTAGAAAGGATTAATTAAATAATTTTGTTTCAAAAAAGTATCATACATATATTTATATTGGATAAGAAAAAGTCTAGCTACATAAATGTCAATTTACATATCTAATATCGGTCCATATTTCTACGCACCCGCATAAATTGCAGGTTGCATATATTTATAATAAAAATTTTAAAAATTGAAAATTTACGCATGGTATAAAATTTAAATAAATTTATTAAAAGATTAGCCAATGCATATATATTTTTTTATATACCCCTTTTGAAATCAAATTTTAAAAAGTTTCTACAAAATCGTAAAGTAAAATATAATTCTAACCCTTATCTCTAACTTCTAACTCTAATTCTAACCCTAATCATAACCTCTAATCCTAGCCCTAACACTAGCACTAACACTAACACTAACCCTAATCTAACTTTATTTAAAATTATATGCTGCGCTTCGGCCTTCGGCCTACGCTTTAGGCGCTCGCTCCTATTTTATCCTAAACCAACCTTCCCCTTTTTAAATAATGATTCTAATGATAATTTAATAACTAATATTTACCTAAATATCCTCCATTTTTCTTTTTTTCCGCATAGGATTAGTTGGACATGTTGCACGATTATAGCCTACATTATTACATAAACTACACTTGTCTTAATAGAAATAACTTTATTTGGATTGTTTTTAACGGTTGAGAAAGATTGACATGCCACTTTGATGAGACTTTGAAGGTTGTTTATATTTTTCTTTGTACTATTTTTATATTTGCCATCACATCGACATATTAATGTTTGTTTTCTAAGATCATTTTGTAGCTTTTCAGACCTTCCTTTTCGAATAAAAAAACCTTGTTGGTGAGACCAATGTTTAATATGTTCAAACGCGGACTTCCAGGTAAAAAAATGTCATACCATTTCTAATATTAAGGTCGAAGTTGACATAACATGAATAGAAGGGTTTTCATTAAATTCAGAAGAATCCTCCTCGTCACTATCTTAAGGAATATTGGCAAGAAAGTCCTCAGTAAAGCTTTCGTCAGAATCATCACTAAATATGAAATTTAAAACAGTCATTTTAGATAATATAAACCATTAGAAAAAAGGATGAAAAGTAAAGGATGAAAGGGTAAAGGAGAAAAAGGAAAGATGAGAAATGATGGCGAAAAGCCACAATAAGTCAACGATCAAATAGTCATGTAACCAAAATATGCACGGAGCATTATAATAAAAAAATTCAACTCTGTAATTATATATTAATGAAAATTAATTATTATTAGAAAGTTAAATAAAATTCAGCTTTATAAGTTATTAGTTGGAGATTATTTATAACAGATTTTAGTTATATTTAAACATTAATTTATTAATTTATTTATCTTATATATTTTTTTCCTAACATTTTAAATTGATTAAATATCTCTTGTTCTTGCTTAACAATAATAACAATAATTAAACTATACATTATTTAGGCTTTGTCTAAGTAAGCTTGTTCGCAAATTTCACAAGTATTAATCAAATTGTATGATATCATAAATGCTGATCAACATTATTAACCAATAAGAATAAGAATTTAAATAATCGAACTGAAAAAAGTAACCTATCGAAAGGGCTGGATGTGGATAATTATAATACGGTAATGTTAAATGAACTTGGTAACATGAGCACACAACCTAATTAGGAAAATTAAACATGAGGGAACGAGCATGAGTTAATAGTGAATGAGTGAAGTTGAGAAGGACCA